TAATGAGAACGGTAATTTTATGGTTAATCACATATGCATATATATATTAATCATCGTACGTTCAGACTTTTTTTTTTTTTTTTATTTTAAGAAACGATTGAAAAAGATGAATAAAAATCAGCACGGTTGCATTTTATTCGTTTGTTTTTTTTCTTTTTCTTTTTATTGAATATATAGCGTTAAAGAAGAAAAAGGAGAAAAAAGAAAAAAAAAGAATATAACGAAGAGGAAAATGGCTTGATCAATTTTATTGGAAAATCAGAACCCCGGTGAGAGATGCCCTATTGGAACTATATATATAAATGCATTTAATATAGAAGCCTTTAATAGAAGCCACAAACACTCGACTCGATTCGCTCGCTAACGTCACAAAATTACCTCTCTATAGTTTCGCGATAGTATTGAATCTCATTGAAATTGGAGAACGTTCGTTCGGTTGCGCCAACTATCGTTGGCGTCGTGGATTGCTTGATTAATGTTTCCAATCATTTTAATTCACGTTTAACTCGTATACAATTTTCATAATTCGTACGAAAACTATGTTTCTGTTCGTAAAGTTAAAAAAAGACAAAAAAAAGAAAAAGAAGAAAAAAAGTAATATCCTGATCGTCTATCAAACAAAATCACACGTTAAATTCCACGGTTTAGGTTCTCGACAAAATTTTCCAATTAAATCGCGCGTGTGTATCAATTTTCATACTTCGTCAAAAACTATGCTACTATTGGTAAAATTAAAAAAAAAAACGAGGAGAGAAAAAGTAAAATCCTGATCATCGCACGATATCGCAAAACTTTACTTTAATTTAGTTTCTTAACTTCAATACTCGTGTGCAATTCAAGTGTGAAAATCCTGATCCATGTAATCCACAGAATGAACACGCTCTAGACTTTGTCAATTTAAAAAGGAAGATTGGTAATTCTGGTCAAATCTGCTCTTAACATTTCTACTTTTTGAACTTTCTATTCTATCTCTCTTACTCATACGTACAAAAAAGAAAAATATATATAATAATTTCTAACTCGTATTTTATTATCCAAATTTCACACTCATCTTATTTTTTGTATACGGTTCTCTATATTTTTCGTAACACGTGCGTCACACTTGCGTTTCATCTCGTCGCCGTCTTTCCACTCGCGCTATCAAAGTTTTAATTCAAAAAATAAAAGAGAGAGAGAGAGAGAGAGAGAGCAATTGACGTCTATGTGTGTGTGTGTGTGTGTGTGTATTTATATATATCCGTTCATAGAAAAGCTTTAAGGAGATCTCAAATAAGTAACAGTCGGTGTACTCTAGGTGAGATTTTGTGTACACGCTAAAATTACACACATTTATAAAAGTATATGTGTATACGTAGCAAGTAGTTGAGTGAATGGTCGGATGGAAGGAGTGCACGTTGAAGGAAAATCTTTTTTGGCTCGTCTACTATATGTCCTACGATTTTCTGTTTTACCTTTGACGGGCCAAAACCTTCCCTGCTGCGGAAAGAGACTGAGTTTGCGAGAAAAAGAAAAAAAAAGGGAAACAAAAAAGAGGAAAATGAGGAAGAAAGAGTGGGATGAATGGAGGGTGGAAAAGAAGAGGGGGAAAAAAGAGGGTGATATTATGTTTGAATTCGCCCACGTGCAACTGCTGTTACTGCTGTTACCGCTGGTGCTTCGTGTGACGTCACGAGACTAGTGCGTGGGCGGTCTCGTTAGGGAGAAAAGAGAGAAGCTAAAGTTGGAGTTGGAAAACAAAAAAGAAACAACAAAAAAAAGAAAAAAAAAGGAGAAAAACCAAGTTGGGGAAAAAAGATTGAAAGATGAGATGACGGGAATAGAGGGAACGGAGAAAGATAGATAGAAATGTAACCGAAACTGACTAAAAGAATGAGTAGATAGGTGAAAGAAAAAGATAGTGAATTTTAGATAGGGAAAATGGGAAGAAGAGAAAAAAAGAAAAAAAAGAAAAAGGGAGAGAGGAATAAAAGTGGGCTGAGTAAGAGTAAAATAGAGAGAGGGAAGGAGGAAAAAAATGTGGTGAGTAAGAGAAAGAAAGGAAAGAAAAAAAAAATGCAATAGGCGAGGAAAGACAGTGGAATAACAATGGGGTGAGTAAGAGAAAGAAAAGAGTGTAAAAGAGGTAGAAAAAAAAAGAAAGAGAGAGAGAGAGAGGGATAGAAAATGGATGGAAGGATCAATGCAACGAAGAGAAGAAGCCGAGAATTCCCGCAGGATATCGAACGGTATGCCATGATGCACGATAGAAGAAATACGATCGTGGATATCTCGCGTGCCGACTGAACGGATACTGTCTGCTACCCTTCTCTACACGTGAGCTTGAACTTCGACAAAATCGAACTACCAAGGGATAGAGAAAAGAATAAGGGAACGGATTTTTCCAGTGTATGAAAAATCTAGGAAAAAGACGAGAATGATAAAATAACGTGATATTAAAATTTTCTCTCTCTCTCTCTCTCTCTCTGTCTCTCTGTCTCTCTCTCTCTCTCTTTCATTCTTTCCTTCTTTCTTTTTTTATCTTTCTCTTTTTCGTCGTTAAGTAATACCAAGAGCGCTAGGTGAAAAAGAAAGGATTTGGGGTGAATTTTTGTCTCTAAGTGCGGTCGGTAATATAGAAATCGATCTTACCTACCAATCTACCTACCTACCAACCAACCAACCAACCAATCCGTTAGCACACGCGAATTCACGTTTTCAACCCCTACGAATTCGTATTTATCGATTACCTACGAGGGAAGGAGAATTTTATGCCCGACGATTTCTGTTTGAAAAAATAAGAATGGAGTTTGAAAACTAGAAAAAATAAAAAAAAAAAGAAAATATTAAAACACACAATGTGTTTTGTCGCTTAACAACGGGATATTATACGTTGCGAAAAAGGAGAACGTTATTATATCGGTCGACCTTCGATGTGTGTCGGAGAAAGGAACGAAAAAAAATATAAATGAAAAAGAGGAAAGGATGAAAAAAAAAAAAAAAAAGAAAATAATAAAAGTATATTAAATAAAGAACGGGGCAGGTTACAAAGGTAGACTAAGAGAGAAAGAGAGAGAGAGAGAGAGAGGTTTAGTTTATTCCTGTCTCCGATATACACCTATCTTTCTCTCTCTTTCTCTTTCTTCCGACGATGCGCACCTGGATGAATCGGTTCACGGTTCGCCGATCTCGTGTCTAATCAACTGTGATGCACGTACTACATATGTACCTACACACATATATTTAATACATACGTATGGGGACGCGGCTACCTACACATACACGGTTTTATCTACATAGTCCTCTGTTGTCGCCTCCACTATTTCTATTATATATATATATATATCTCTTTTTATCTCTTTTTATCCACCCTATCTTTCTTCATCTCGTCGAACAACAAAGAATTAATTCTTCCTTTAAATTTTAATATATACATAAATATATAACTTGATATATTGTGGATTGCTAGAAGAAAGTTCGTACCGATTAATATTTTTAATATAATATAATACGATTGTTCTTAAAATCGATACAAAATTATTTAAAAAAAAAACCCCCCCCCCATACGCGTATCTTAGATTTTTTGTCGAAAATTTGTGCCGATTTAGATAAAGAAATTTTGTATGAAATTATATTAAAAATATATTAACATTTATAAATCGTCATTTGAATTTTCCGACTGACCCAATATATTATATTATCTATTCGCAGAACATTCGGAATAATTCCTGGAAACATTGTAACTAAACGCAAACAACAGTGATATACATAAACTGTACAATGTATCATGAAAATTCTCGAGGACGATATAGAAACGTGTAATAAAAAGTGAAAAATCGTTGATAACTCGATCCTCGTCAGCGTGTATGGACGATACGACAAAATAGTAAAACTCGCGAGTAGACCTCCCGCATTCTATATCTACTATCTATCTACCTGTACGTATAATACATAGATAGAGATTATGATTGTGTTTGAGGATGCCCACGATCGATAGGAACTTGTCTTCGTGTCGCGTTACCTTCGATCAAACTACATGCAAAACACGCAACGCACGCTACGCACGCACCAATTCTCTTTACCCATGACTGCACGTGCTTTATAAAGAAACCCCTCAACAATCAACCCCCCACTCACCCACCCACCCTCTATCCAAACTCAACTACGGCCAATCGTTTTCTAGAAAAAATTCAATTTTAATTTAATTCTTTATTGCCTCGCACGCGTATTTTTTAACGAAAACCCCGAAGTATTTATATATCATTTATTTGACAAAAGAATAAAGAACAATGAATATATCGATGTTGAAAAAAAAAGAAAAAAAAAAAAGAATATGTTCTTTGGGTATGGAAGATTCTCGATTGATATAGTGTCGTGGAAGTCGGGTACACAAGAGCAATAACGACCCCACTGAGAAGTTTATAGACTGTGAGAGAACGTTGATCGGTCGATTACGCTTTCCTTCCTCAGTTTGCCTGCCTGCTTGCTTGCTTGCTTGCTTGCTTGCTTGCCTGCCTGCCTGCCTGCCTGCTTGCCTGTAAATATATCGTGATACACAAGTAGTGCAGGTGTTCTTCGTAAACTAGATATTCATTGACACGGAATGGCCATGCTTGTGCTTTTCCTCCGTGCATCTATTTTCAAGGGCGACGCTGACCCTTTATACACAACACAAGCTGATATATATATATATATTTATAAATTATGTTCTCTCGCATCAGCTCGTAGTTCTCGCGCGAATCTTCCATTTTATTTAATCGAATCGTTGAATTGTTAAAAAACATTGTTGTAAAAACAATGTAAATGCTGTAATAGAGACATTGTCAAGTATTTCGTTTTCTTTCAAATTATTGTTTATCGACGGTCGATAAACGATTATATTTTAGATTACGTAGACCTAGACCTAACATGATTATTTGCTTTTGTTTTTTTAATATATTAAATCTTTAAAAATCGTGGTGCGATTAAAATCGTTATTTTTAGAGAAATTCGTATAACTTGCGATTAAAAACGAATGGACTCACCCTTCTCGGACTCGTCCGGCTCGTCACTCCCACATTCCGGTGTACTCCGTTCTTCCTCGCTGCTACTGTAACTTCTTTGTTGCTGAAGAGTACTCTGACCTGCCACAGCTGATTGTGAGGGATGCGTACCTTGCGCTTGATGTACAACTGTGTGCTGTTGCGAGGGATGAACTGGTCCACGCGAAGGTCCCGTTTCCGTCCCGGGTTGACCATAAGCCATTGCAAAATCAGAGTTTTGATCCTGTAGAAAATAACATCACCGTTTTTTATTTATTTTTTGATAATAAAGTTATTAGAAAATGTTCCATTTATATTAATCTCGAAATAAATAATACAAAAATTACGTTAAATATCGTTATAGAAAATTGATCGAATTCATATGAAAGTTATAATATAAAGAATAATATTAAAAACGAGATTTATATATATATATATATATATATATAACGTATATATAATAATTTATTTGTATACGTGGAAAGTTATAACTTTTAGGAAATTTCATTTCGTTGAATTATATTAATATTCCGTTGATTTAATTAACGCTTATCGAATCAATGAGTATTAATGAGTAGAATAATATAATATATATGTATATCTGTATAAAGTAATAAAGCGGGATAAGCATTTGTTCGAACGTACAAAATGGAAAGAAGAAAGGAATGTGAAAAAAGCGTGTCTCGTTCTCGAAGCGTCGAAATAAGCTGGATCCTACTTCATCAACAGCTACTGAACGAATGTCGTGTCCAAAGGTTTAGTATCGTGCCAAATAAATAGACACGATCCGATAGCTGGTGATATATAAACATACACACACGCGCGCGCGCGCATAGAGACACATACACGCTCAGTCCCATACAAACAGTCAGTCAGACAGACCAAAACAGACAGGCAAAACAGACACACATCTGTTTATATTGCTCGGACATTGTCCTTTGTAGTTTGAATCGTGTTTTACCTACATGTGCAATTAAGTATACACAACAAGCGTCATTCTTTATTATCACGAATGCGTTTTATATTGCGTTTTATTATTCAAAGTATAGCCATGCGAATAAATAAATAAAACTAGAATTCTTCCTTTTTTATTTTCTTTTCTTTTCTTTTCTTTTTTTTTTATGTTTACAAACCTGATAAATCGGTCGATGCCTCGGATAATTTTTTTGATGTTCTCTCATGAGACCGTCGATTTCACTCCTGAACAGACTAGTTTCGTCTGGGCCGAAGGTATGATGTCTCAGAGATTTTGGTATAGGATACGAACCGACTACTTGGGGTGTCGGTAGACTTCTCGAGTGAGGTGAAACGGACATCTCAACTCCGCTATCGCTGGTAGACACCCGACGTGGAACCTGCGCTTGCAAAGACCATATTTTTCCATTTTTTATTATCCGATGACTGATTATCTCGGACAATAATGGAAACGTTTATTCGAGAGTTGAATTCGAGAACGTTTCCACTCGCGCGCGATCAAATATACAGGACACGCACACACATAGACGAAGTGGAAGTTGGTAACAGGCCGATCTCGTTGAGTTAGTATTTCTGATCCTGTGCTACAGGCATTATATACTAGACGTGAACTGTCCTTTTCTCTCTATATTAAGCGTCGCTTCTAACCCTTTAAGACCTGATTTCAAACATAGCCTTCCTACTACTTTTAACAATGATACCTATTATGCAACATAAGTAGATAAATAATGGACATTGTGTGATCGTGCTGATCGTGCATAAGTGTTAATCGTGCTACTCGTACCGGATTGGATCGCTTACGATATCTCGTGGCAGGTGTATGTCTGTCTGTCCGTTTGTCCATATTTCCGTCTGTCGGTGTGTATTGTATGTGGATCTAACCATATCCGGTGTTTAGTGTTCGCCATTAATCAAGCCCGAGACTGTGAGTCCAAAAGATTAGGTAATCAAGGATTCGCGAAGGTGTGTGCGGAAGGTGATAATACCTACTGGATTGCTATGTGTGTCGTTGCAGGGTGTCGTCCTTCTCTCTTTCTGTCGGGCGGCAGGCGATTAAAGGGTTAAAAGCATCGGATAATATGTAAATGTAGTTAAGCACACCTGCTCTTGCTGGGAGTACTGCCTTTTGAGCAGACTTCCGCTTCTTTGCAGCAAAGGCAGGTTCTCCTTCTCGGCTGCGCTGTGCGCCCTCTCGAGTTTCGGCCTCTTATCCTGAGTTTGGTCCAAGAGTCCCGGAGGACCACCCACCTGCATGTCCTCCTGCATTCGCATTGGCAGCATCGCATTGTCCACGGTCCCGAGGCCAGCCTTTGTCATCGTCAGGACCTCTTGCTTCTTTCGACAGACGATGCACACCCATATTTCCTAAAGATACCATACCATCATTCTCTATCTATTTCTATTATTATTAATTCTATCAAATATCGTCGTCTACTACCATGTTCTACGATTAAAATGAACATCTCGTTAGAGTCTCTCAAACGAGTTTCTATGTCTAATGAAAAATCAAATCGATCAATTGGATCACGAATATCGATCCTTAAATCTATATATACCTAAATAAAAATCGTACACATCTATTATTCGAACATGTATGGATATATTTTGTTTATATTCTTAGCGGAAAGATCTTTAAATGATGCGTATATTGCATTTTTTGAACAATATGCGGTACCCAGTGAGGCGTCATGAACTATACTAGTAAAGTCAACCGGGTGGTCGTTAGGGGGTGGTTTCTGCGATAAGCATGCGGCACCTAGCGGTTCTTCGGGAACTACATTCGGAATTGAGTTACGAACGTTACGGTGTGGCGCGTACCGACAAATTGGGACTCCAGTCACGCGTTCACAATATAGAAACAACTCGATATCGTATATGCCTTTAGTTTCGTTTCTACTATAACTAAAACTTTCTATTATAAACAAGTAAAGATAATTAACAGGAACTATATATATAGCGAAAATCTATTCCGTACTTCGCTAATTGATTTCTATTTCGTTTCGACGAATGGCGCAACTCTTTGTGGAAATATGTATTATTGTTTGAATAGAAATAAAATATCGATTGGATTAAACACTTACACGATTAAAAAATTAAAAATCCAAATCACAAATATCTTAATTTATATTTGCCCCCTAACCCGATGTTGATACACTAAGTCGTAACACGAATGCACTTGCACCTTTTTCTTTTCTGTCTTTTTCTCGTTCTTCTAACACATTAGTATTCGTTCACTTAAGAGAGAAAAAAAAGAAATCAACTATCATTCAATTAACACAATACGATACAAAAATTGTATTTACAATGTAGATCAAAATAATATTAGATAATAATGAATACGATTATCGAGCGGCAAATGTGAATAACTATCGTCCTATTAATTCACGGTAGGTTATATTTTCGCGGTATAAAAGCCGAACGAAAATAAAAGCTGCTTGTCCCATTTCCAAAGGGAGCGGCAAAGAAACGCGATGAGAAATAACGTGAAAGTGTTCACAAAAAGAAACGACAACGGGAACGAGAACGGGAATGACGAGGACGAGGACGTGGACGTGGACGACCACGGTGATGATGATGACGACGACGAGGATGAAGAGGAGGAGGAGGAGGAGGAGGAGGAGGAGGAGGAGTAGGAGGGGTTGGTGGAGAAGAAAAAGAAGAGGACGTTTGTGGCACATCCTTTTAACCGAAGTAGGACACGCATCGTTCGTCACGAGTCACAAGCCCGCCCTCCCGACAGTCCGCGTACTACGTGACCTTCGAGCGATCCGATCGAACTGAATATTCTCTCTTGTCGACACGGTTGGCAACCGAGAACAATCTCAAACGCACCACCATCCAAAATCGACAAATCGAAAATAAAAAGTAAGATAAATATAAAAGGAAAATACTCAATCGAAAATGAGATTCACAACAACATCACTGTGTTCACGCACCTGTTCGCGTTAAGATTCACTTGTAAACTGAGTTAATCGGGACACTGTACGCACCAGTTTTCAAAACAGTATGTATGTGTGAGAGAGAAAGACAGAGAGAGAAAGTAAGTGAGTGTGTGAGAAAGAGAGAGAGAGAGAGAGAGAGAGAGAGTGAAAGAGAGAGAGAGAGAGAGAGAAAGAAAGGGAGAGAAGGAGCCTTTTCGACAAGACTTGCAACGCCCAGCGAATCTCGGTGCAGACTGCTGGTGGGTCAGCCCGCGTTGGATCAAAGTACAGCTGGAGGACCGAGAAACGAAGCGGGAAAGACAGGAGAGCTCTGGGAGAGGGAGCCCTGAAGAGCACTTCGTCGAGTTGCCTAGGTAGCAATATGTCAAGAGCGCTACCCCTTTCCACCCTCGCTTGGTACCCCCACCCCGCCACCCCACTTTCAACCAACCACCTCCACCCTCTCATCCGAAAGAGAAAACGCACACGTATCTACGTACCGAATCCTTTCAACGTTGATACATATTGTCTCTATGTACATCCGTGCCATTTTTCATCGTTCCGAAATTGGTACGTTCGGATAAAAAGGGAAGAAAGATAGAGAGAGAGAGAGAGAGAGAGAGAGAGAGAGAGAGAATAGAATGTAAATGGAAAGAACTGTTGGTTAATATTGTATAATAAGTATTAGATAATACGTGCAAATGAGATCGCATAAGATAAATGATCACATTAATGAGATCTCGATGGGATAGGATTTGCATGAATTAATTAAGGAACTAATTAATTCGAATCGTTTGATCGTTCGAAGCTTTACGTACGAGTCTACGTCGTAGTAAAGTCCTCCTTATTGTATAACGTGTGAAGCAACTATCAACTGACGACGTCAGCAAAGAGGAGGACGAAAACGATGACGCTCTCTTCGAGAAGGAAGATGACCGGAGGATGAACGTCCTGGATGATGAGAGGTCGTGGTACCTCTTCCCTACCGAGGGAAAGGTCGATCGATCGATTTATACGAGCTAATCTTTCACACGTTTATTCTGTAATTTTCCTATATCACATTTTTTTTTAAAAACACTTTTGTACGATTATTCTCTCTAAATTTGGAAAATTTGATTTAATTTATCGGTTATGGTCGTAAACGAATTGTTCACTGATCAAATGAAATTACACATTTATCCTAGCGTAAAATTGATATTTATATTTTGACAATTAAATTATCTTGTTTTGATGATTCTTAAGTTTTTACATTGAATATAAATTATATTAATAATTGTGCGTGTGTGTGTGTGGAATAATAATAAATTCGACAATTTGTATATAACTTTAATTTTACTTTAAATCATTTATATAATTAATCTGTGAATTTATGCAAATGTAGATACAGAAAATGCATAAAATCGCATATACGAGAGATATGCGGTTTATCTTGAGAGATATCCGATTACCCGACGATAGAAATACATCATTTTCTGTGACGTAATTAAGGTAAGAAAAAGAAGAAATAAGAGAAACTTAGTATTATATCGATGAAGAAACGGAGATATGTAAAAAGAGAATTAAGGAAAGTAGTAATAGAAGATGTTGGCAAGATGGAACCATGGGCCTCAGTTTTCAGACAACAAAGTCTACAAGGCTGAGTGGCAGCTGTGCTCAGACGACCCTTCAGACCGAGTAGAGCCTACACCGGTGTTGCTGTTGGAGACTCATCGCATTGACTTTATATCTCTCTCTCTCTTTCTCTTTTTCTTTTTTTTCTCTCTCTCTCTACTTTAGAGAAGACTATCCTAAAATCGTGCTCAAGCGTAATGCGAGCGAAGTAAAGACGAAACGAGATGCATACAAAAGTTTATACCGTAAGGGGGTTGCGATCGCTGTGTTGTTGTCGTCATCGTACTCGGGTGTTTTCTTAAAATAGCACTGAAGATTACAAGAAAGCTTCTTCCTCTTCTTCTTCTTCTTTTTCTTCTTCGTCTTCATTTTATCGACTTTCTCTTCAAATTCCAAATTATTTCTTACCTCGTCTATTTCAACAACGAGATGAACGATTTTCTCCTTTCTATCAAGGAAATATGTTTGATTGCGTCTACTACTCGGAGAATCCGTTCCTTTTCCTTTGAATACCGATATATAATTTGCGTGCTTGTGAAAGGTCTTTATCGCATCTCTTGACATCGTCCAAGAAAAAGAATTATTTGATAGGAAGTAAAAGAGAGGAAGGAAGAAAGGAAGAAAAAAAAGAAAATGAAAAAGAATGGAAAAGCGAGCAACTTGGATGGTTCTATCGTTGGTACGACAGAACGAAACCCTTCAGGAACGTCACTAGCAAATAGTGGAAGGACAAGGAGGAAACCGTGGAAAGATATTTTTCAAATCCTCATTTATTTTAAACACACCGACAAATAATTCTAATATTAGAACTCAGACAATCTACCCACTAGTCAAATGATTAACAAATTAATTTTTATCCATAAAAAAAAAAAAAAAGAAATAAACTACCCTTAATCTAAACATGCAATACCATATTCCTAAAAATAAAAACATCAATAGTAAAACATTTTGATTGAACTATAAAGATAATAGTAATCGAGCTAAATATATTCTAAAGTAAATGTCTCATTTCTCTCTTTCTCTCTCTCTCTGACACATACACACACCCATATATAGCTATCATCATTTCTTATTAAGATCATCCCTTGCAACATACTCTCTCTGTCTAGATGGTAAGATCAGGACAAGTACTGCTACAAGTCCCGTAAGTTTACCGAGCGAGCAAGCCCGTATTTCGTATCCAGCAAGCTCTCTCACTCTCTCTCTCTCTCTCTCTCTCTCTCTCTCTCTCTCTCTCTCTCTCTCTCTATTTCTCTCTTTACTCTTCTTCTACCCCCGTTTCTCTGTAGAAGCAGGAGAGCGAGCCGGCACTACGAAACTTAGATCAATATGTTGCGTCACGTCTACCCGCCTCCCGCGCACGACAGAACCAGCCCAGCATCTCGCCGTCCATCGACTTAGTCAGCCGCACCCCCCACCCCTATATCTCACACACCTATCCCGGCCAAGCAGCAAGAGTGTGTGTTAACACACGCTACCACCACTATCTACAACTAACATCACCATCACTGCTGCGACCACCACCACCACCACCACCACCACCACCACCGCCACCACCACCGCCACCCCCATCCCCATCACCATTGCCACCACCATCCATAGTGCCACCTCCACCACCACCAGACCAGCTCCACTATCGCGCGTCCAACGTTCTCGCGTGGTGACGTCACGCAGGGACGCGCCCCATTCATAAGCTCCCACGCAGAGCCTAAACCGTGACGACGGGAAAGAAAAGGGAAGAGAAAGAAAGAAAACGCGTAACGAGCCAACCAACCAGCCGGCCAATGTCGCGTACACGGCCACGAGTAGTCATCCTCCCCAACTAACTAATTTTTCTTTTTATTTTTTTTTTTCTTTCTTTCTTTATCTCTCTTTCTCATTTTATCTTATTTATCGTTCCTCGCAAGAAGACAGACGTATAATCATTGACCGTTACTACTTTGCGTAGGATGTAACTCCGATTTATTTATAGTTAGGTTGGTCCTATCCACACTCGAAATTCTTCTAAATTCATCCCCAATCATACCCTCGCCCTTTCTCTCTCTCTCTCTCTCTTTTTCTTTCATTCTTTCTATTTTTCTTTATACACGTCTGATCATTTATTTATGTTACCACTTGTTTGATACGTAAAAATGTGTATCAGAATGAGAAAAAAATAGGATAACCAATAACTTGGTGAGTTCTTTTATAAATCAATCGAAATACGTATTTAAGTATATACTATCGTGCTCGATCAGTATCTCTCTTATCATTTAAAGCTTTGATACTATGTTCGATAAGATGAATATAGAAAAAATGAAGTCGTAGAAAATGATTCTAATCGGAGATGTCACGATTCAAATAGAAATGATAGAAGACTGTTATTAAAAAGAAAAGAAGAAAAGAAGAACATTATAAAAAAATCAGTATTAAAAAATAAAAAAAACAATATATATCAGTTATATCCGAAAAATATAAAGTTTCTTACATTTAATATTGGAAAGAGATAAGAAACAGAAAAATAATTTGTCAAACACAAACCGCGTGAAAAGAATTTTGTTTTTTGAGGGAGAGGAGAAATTTTTTATATCATTTTGATAATACTATTTTTAGTATCACCCGCCCCCCCCCTCTCCCACCAGTTTTATCGCACACCGTCGACCTCTTGTATTTTCGATCGATGATGTCGCGTATCGTTCGAGCGCACGGCTTACGATACTCTATTCTCTCATTATGCTTGCGTGTGTCCCTGACTAATAGAAGACTCTACTTTACCCTATCTTTCTCTCTTTCTCTCTTTCCCCTTTTTAGAACAGTGAAACACGCGTGTCCGATTCTACCACAATTCTTCTTTCTCTGTCTTTCTGTCTTTCCGTTTCTACCTTTCTACCTTTCTATCTATCTACCTATCTATCTATCTATCTATCTATCTACCTATCTACCTATCTTTCTATCTTTCTATCTATATCTCACTCGCATGCTCGCAATATACGTCAGTCGTTTACGCGCTACGCTCGTCGCTGTCGGTAGGAAATAGTATCGATCCAAATGATAATGTGTTCTATGCCCCTGACGCCGATTGTCTCGAGCTCGTCAACGAAGATACCACCAAACGATACCCGACGATCGATTATTCCTCAATCCGCAAAAAAAAAAAAAAAAAGAAGAAAAAAAAGGAAAAAAAGTCATCCCTTCTTCGTATATCTCAGTAAGCTTAATTAAAAGTAAATATTATAACTCGACATATATTTTTCAATAATATAAATAATAAAACACATTACACCGAAGATATTATTATCCTCTCGACGTATAATCAACCTCAGTTTTTTTGACGACTTAAAAGTAATTGAAAAAATAAGAAATAAAAAAAAAAAGAAAAGTTCGAATGGAAAGAACAGCGTAACCGTAAAAGAATAAACGAGTAAGGAGTAAGGGAGGAATGGTAGAGGAAAAGAAAAAAAGGGGGTGAGAGTACGAGTGCGAGGGAACCGGATGGGCCGCCAGTGGGAGGGGTCGTGGAAAAAGAAGTTATAGATCTAAAACAAAAAAAAAAAGAAGTGTAAAAGAGACATGTGTGTAAGTAAGTAGTTTCGTGTGTCTTTTAAAAGAATACAAAAGAATGGCGTCGCAGTGACAGTGTCCAGAGAGCTATTAACGATCTTCTTCGCCACGTCGCTTATCCACGTCGCGTTGACACTTCGACGATGCCTCTAACATAAGCGTACGCTCGAAGTTTGTAGTGGTTATCGATTCTTTCAGAACAATGGCAACTCTGACCAAAGTAGTAAATGTGAAAGAAACAGAGAAACACGAGAGAAAGAGAGATGGAAATAAAAGGAAGAGAAATCTTTATGGAAATAATAAATATAAACTTGTCGTTCATAAATAATATGACAATCTTTGATTAGATTATAATAAATGGGAGAAAAGATACTTTTAAGAAATTATTTATATGGTTTTTCAATTGTATTCATGAAATGTATCGTAAATTAAAATAATATAACGAATGATTAAAAAGATCATAATCATTAGTTATGATAATATATTTGTAAAAATGAATTATATATTGATTAATTTAATAAATGTTAAAATAAATAGAAATATGTATATAGATATAATTTGTAAAAAGAAAAAAAAATGATTTAAAAAAAAGGAAACAAAATGATGAACGTTATAATTGGTTTTATATGTATATCTTGTGGACCGTAAATGATAAACGGATCAAATGTTAATGATAATGATATGATTAATATGAAATGTTTTGGACGTTAATTTCATTGACAAGTCAAAATCAATAGTCGTTGGGGGGGAGGGGGGAATCCGACAGGCTTCGTATCGTTCATCGACGTGATCCTTTTGGTGAGAATCTCTCTTAGCGACGTTTATACATATAATCTCGTGGAAACGTCAAAGGTAATATTCGGTTATAGACGGGCCAGTGACTTCCACAAAAGTATATTGTAGGTAAAACCTAAACGATCTAGTCGTCAGCAGTAAGTTATCGCGTCTAGGAAAATTACGGGACCAACTTTAAATTCCTGTCTGACACAGCACACTGCATAACCATTAACTACTTACAAGGAGATATGAGACTCTCCAAAACTAAACTACACGATTCTCTCATTTCGATATTCATTTCTCATCCTGTTTAATTGTAATCGGTTGATAAAAAAAAAAATTCAAATTGTAAATAATTAATGTTAAGAGACGTACGGAGATAATTTTTGTATTTTTCTTTTATTTTTTTTTTTCTAGAAAAGTTATGGGAGCAAAAAAGAAAAAGAAAAACGTTAAAACAAAATCGAAAATATTAACGAAGTATATTAAAATGTTCGACATATCTTAAATGATTGTTAATTGTTCGAAAGAAATATAAATTGTAGTTAGAAGAATAAATTTGATGTATTATTCTCTTCGAAATCCACCGTTAGACTGACACATTATCCTCTATAAAAGTTTTTTTTATTCAATGTTGTTTATATGACTTTTCTTAAAAAGAAATTCCATTTATTACGAATATTATTCTCATGCGAAACTTTCGAGAAAAGTTATATATAAATAATAATATAATAAAAGAAACTTTACCTGTTTTTTTCATAGAGGACAACGCGTGCCAGTATTCTTTTACAGAGTAATTTATATATGTTACCGTCATAGTCGGAAATCCGTCATTATATAAATATATATTTAATTATATTATATTACATGTAATTTTAGTACGTTATCAGTGGCGATGATGGTAAAAAGATGACAAAGAGTAAAAAAGAGAAAGATAAAGATAATAAAATAGATAAAGAGAGATAAAGAGAGAGAGAGAGGGAGAGAAAAAATACGTTAGCTATAGGTCAATTATTTCCAGGTATTTGAATCGAACACTACAACACACACGTTGTTCGGTTATCGTCTTTTATGTTAGCGAAATCAAGCTTCCTGAGTATTTCTACGAAACTGACATCCACCCACATGGTTTCCTTTCCAACCCTCCTGTTTTTACATGCGAACTTGTGTTAACCATATTATTGGTTTGCATTAAAATTGACTTTGTTAAACGTGTTACTACAGTTATTGTACAATATTATCAGACGTGAAGAAAAAGCACAACAACAATACGTATTCTTAATTGCACGAGATCAATTAAGAAAATAACAAACGAAATAAATTAAACAGTAGTTGAACGAATTTTATATGCAATATTTAAAAAAAAAAGAATAAACAAACCATATATAGAAAATAGTGAATAAAATATGCGCGCATGATTTGAATAAATTTGTACGAGATCGAAATAATTAAAAAACAAGACGACACGTGAAAAGAATGCATGTGTGTGTCTGTGTGTTTAATAAAAATTGTAAGAATAAATTTGGTTTGTTTAAAATTGTATTGTCAATTTGTTCGCGTTATAATTGTTGTTCTTTTTCTTTGATGAATAATAATTAAATTATAAACTTACCCTACGCGAACGTAGAGTGATCTTTGCACCGCAGCGTGCACAGCACCGGATATGGCAGTAGTTGCAGTTGTGACCAATGCCATCGGCAAACTTGGTTTTCATGCACACTTGACACGTTGCATTAAGTTCTACCCCAGCCTTCTTGTGTTTTTCCGAGCGGGCTCGTATCGTTTCTTCGAGGACTTGTACCTCGTCCTGTTTTCGTCTGCAAACATAATAAACGCATATTAATGTTATTAGTAAAATACGAGAAAGAATTTTGGTATGAAAGAAAGAAAGAAAGAAAGAAAATAGGGGAAAAAAATGTCTATGGAAAAGAGAAGAAAATTGAAAGGAAGAATAATCGAGACGCAGGAAAATATCAATCGTAAAACAAACTCTCCAACTATTCCAGACGAGCATCCTTTTTATTACTTTCCTCGATCTATTCGAATGCAAGTCTCAAATATGCCTAAAAATCTAATAAAAATCGTAAAAAGAAAATATGTGTTTGTTGAACCTTTTGGATCCTTTTATAAAAAAAAGAAAAAAGATTCTTCAAATCTTACAAATTCGATAGAAGAAAAATGTAATATGTAAATTATTCGACTGATCTATCAAAGAAATTTTATTCAATTGAACATATATATTTATATCAAAATCTATACTTCTCTTAATATAATAAATATAGAATCTATATACAAATTTATATATGTATATAATAAATATATTATATCAAAGCTACTCAAATTTTTCCACTAGGACGACCCCTATTATATTCGAGTAAATATTTTCTCGATACTGAATACAAAGATGTATAAACAAGGAAATGCGAATTAAAACATTTGTCTCGATAATAAATTGTAATGAAAATCGTATTAAAAAAGCCACGCTAAAATTTCACTCTAACTACGAGAAACCCTGATATATATATATAGAATATACCTATATATTTTTTTATATGAATTTGTAGGGAAAAAGAAAAGGTCGTTCTTCGATTTACCTGGAAGAAAAAAAAGAGTAGGAGGAAAGAACGAATCAATAGGGACGCACGCGACGGAAATACGAATTACAGTAATTTGTTTTTTTTTTTCTCTTTCTTAGTAACTTTTAAATAACAACGAGCAGCAAATAGTCCTATTCGAAATTCTATGTATTATAGTTGTAGGTATTTTCCTGGAATCCTTTGACCGAGGCTTACGTCCTCGCTCAAGGACTTCTTTGAGTCCATCGTCGTGACGTCAAAATAGGCGTCAACGGTCCTACGAATTCCTCTCACCCTCTCTCACCATCGTTCCCATTGAACCAATTTAGCCTCGGTGTATACGGCGTTGAGTAAAAATTAAACGAGTACTAGGGACGTCGTCAAACGTGCGTCATTACGTGCCTTATCTGTTGCTCGAGAATGAAAATATTCAAATACGTCAGGGATTGAGATACACTTAAAGTTAATGAAAGAAGTCTATTTACGTAGAACGAATATACGGGTTGTTGTTTTTTTTTTTTTGTCAACTTTAAAATTAAAAGATAAATTTAAAGAGAAAAAATATCGTTTATTATCCGACTATTCAAATTATTTGTTACGGGAGATATAAAATTGGATGTTTTAAAATTTGTTAGCAACGAGAAAAAAAGACATCAAAGATAGGAAAGATGAAGATGATAAAATAAACCTCGTCTTGTTCCACTAAAAATCCCCCGCCCATCCCAATTTTATTACTTTTTTATTCGATCATTTTCCATCGAATTATTTCTATTATATTTTGTTACACGATATACAGATTTGTATTACGATATTATAATTTAGCAAAAACACAGCGGAATAAAATAAAAAAAATAAAAGATGAAGATGACGAGATAAATATCGTTTCCTTTCTCTCTCTCTCTCTCTCTCTCTCTCATCCTTTTTCTTTTTTAGCTTCGATCAATTTCTATCGGACCATCGAAGTTATTTGTTACTCGAGATAGAATTTGTTTTCTAAAACTCATGCAACCTATCCTATACAGAAAAAAAAAAGAAAAAGAAAATAAATAAATATAAAAGAAAAAACTCGAGGAAAAAGGTACGAAAAGAGGAACTCGAATTTGTAAGAGAGATAGAAAAGCACGGTATAGAAAGGTTTGTTGCGGGGGTGTGTGTGTGTCGGAAGGGGAATCGGGGGGGGGGGGGGTTGAATGTAATGCCTCGAGGCAATGACTCGAAGCGTATCTAGAAAATTGAACTTTATTGCACGATTTATCTTGTAATATTTCACGCGTTCCATCTCCACTGTACTTGTTCGCGCACGCGAACAACGGAGGAGGAGCCTTTTATTGCGTTTCATTTTTTTATTTCTTTTTTCGTTCCGCGTACCTTTTCTATATTTCTTTTTTTTCGCCCTTTATTCCTCAAAATCGGAATTCGATTCGATTCGATTCGATTCGACTTGACTCGACTCGTTTTAAAAATGTCACCGGTGTCTCTTTTTCACAACGAAAGAGGAAACCGTGAAAGATTTATCAGATTGGATTATTAATCGGTTTTCTTTTCTTTTCTTTTCTTTTTTTTTTTCCTATCCTTTTTATTTTTTCTCTCCGCCTTCCCTTCACCCCCGCCCCCGTCCCCGCCA